CAGGTGATTGAAGCTATTTTGATCAACGGTCTGGTACCCTACGCTTATGAATGCTTTAGGGAGTATGTTCAATGCTATATTCTCAGAATAGATCATCGTTACTAATCTACGCCTAATAGTGAAAAGGACATAGTCACACCTGCTCAATCCGTACTACTGAAGCTGTTGGTTTCAGTCTATCGCCCTTCGGCTCCAATAGTGGGTACGTCAAGCTCGGACCCGCAGCCTTCCCCTCTAGATCCATTTAGCTTTTACTCCCCTCCGACCCCCTCATCTGTCGGTGGGTCGACCGAACAACACGAGGTTGCACCACCGATTGAGAACTCTATACCCGCATTTTTCGTTGGAGTTTTTCGAAAGCAGGTCCTCCCTCCCACGATCAAGATAATAAAGTTACAAGGAGCTATTCGCAAGGGCCAGCAAAAGAAGGAAAGCTTTGAATACAGCCTTTGGGATTTAGACAGGATATATGAGGGGGTTTATCAATTTCTGGAGTTACTCGTCCTGTTTTCTGAAGACGAGGAGGCCAAGAAAGTTCTGCTAGCTGGTGATAAGGGACTGGTAGCGGATCTAGTGGAATTTCTGGGAGAACTTGACAGTGCAATTCCACGCTGGGTCGCTTCGAAGGCGCCCCCCCCGCCGACTTTGCCAACTCCCGCTACTGTAAAAGAAATCGTAGAAGATTCCACCACTAAAGTCAGCAAATCTTACATGGTCGAGAGACCATTCGATGTTCACCCAGAAAATGAAGGCGATGGAGAGGAAGACGAAGAGCGGCTCCCGATAGATCTTGACGATGAGGAAGATGATGATGACGGGCGGGATGACGAGAGAGGGCTGGCTGAGCCAGAAGATTTTACGTGGCCACACATCAAACGCTACCTGGTTCTCCTCTTGAGTGGATTTGCGTGGAAAAATAAAGCGGTGCAGAATCTCGTTAGAGAGAAAGAGGGACTGCAGCCCATTCTGAATCAATGCATGATTGACGATGATAATCCTTGTAAGTCATATCCAACCTCCATTTTTGAAGCATTTGCTAATGATCAAAGATATTCGAGAACACGCGATATTATGCATTAGAAATATGCTGGAGGGAAATCCCCAGAACCAGAAGATTGTTGAAGAGCTTGATGCTGTTCAGACAGTGCCCAGCGAAGTTCTTGATAAGAGTGGATACGAGCACTTCATAGATGAAAGTGGTAGAGTGCAGCTGAGAAAATTACCAGAGCGAAAAATGTGAAATAGAATTAATCATTGTATATACCTAGAGAGAATTAAATTGAGTGCTTCCAAAAAAAAAAAGGTAGAAAACAAACAAAATCCTTTGTCTAGTACATACATGTATAGATTGGACCTTATCAGCATTTGAGCAACGAGTGAGAATACATGATACATCCTCTTCATTCATAGGGTTAGGGGATAGATTTTGGTTCTACACCTGCTTTTGACTGGCGGCTCTGCTTCGGCAACATCCGCCCCCTAACTCCATGCATACGTTCTAAAACATTCATCACATCAACTTAGACAACCGCTCTCCAGAACCACTTTCAAAACTCTATCAGCAACGATGACAAACCCATCCGATCCTTCGCAGCCAGCTATCAAAACCGAAAACACACCTGAGAACACACTCCCAGATGTAGACGTTGATATGGAAAACGCGACAAACGCGACGCAGCAAGATCCCCTGGCGGGTGCGGGTGATAGAATCCCAGCTCCAGCTCCCGTTGCAGCAAGAAAAGATAGGAACCTCCGCGAGTTCTTAGGGATGATGGAGGAATATGCGCCAATCGTGAGAGCTCTATTTAAGATATCTTTTTGCCCTTTACTTGAAGCTTGACAGTTTGCGATCATATAAAAGGCTTATTACTGCACGTGATAGCTAACACTTTTTTGATACTTGTAGATCCCAGACGCGGTAACAGACTACTATCTGTCGCTTTCTGGCCTCTCCACTGCCGACCCACGGCTCAAGCGTCTCCTTGCCCTCGCAACTCAAAAATTTATCGCTGATATCGCCACTGATGCGTACCAGTACTCACGCATACGTCAAAACTCATCAAATGCTAGTGGTGTTCCTGGTATCGGCGCCCTGAATGTAGGCGCTGGGGGAGGCGCTGGAGGTGCGGGCGGCGGTACAGGTGGTGGTGGCTCCTTCAGGCCCATTGCAAGACCGGGTTTCGGAGGCGGTGGTGGTAGTGGCGGGAGTGCAGGTAGAACTGTATTGACCATGGAAGACCTTGGTAGTGCAGTCGGCGAATATGGCGTCAATACTAGAAGGCCAGAATTCTATCGGTAGAATGTTGGCGATCTACCATGCTTCTTTTTTATTTTATTCTTTAAATGGATTCCCTTTTCCTGCCCGACTTCTTTTCTTCTGCAGATGTTGCTTGATCGACTTGCACATCTTAATATTTTTATCTATAACTTCCTTTACCCCCATTTTACTTGGTGCTGGACATAAATCTCTCCCTTGGGCGTTGGCTGGTTGTATTTTAAAAGAATTCTGAATTGAGCTTATGTTTCGTCTCCGGATAAATATCGTAAGCAGTTTGCCACTGAAGATGGACTCCACTATCTACTAGCTGAAGATGAAAGAAAAGGATCCGTATTTATAACCTTCCATGGAAGCTATAGGGAAGAGTGCCTACAAAGAATACAAAATCGATGATGGTCCCAAAAAAATAAAATAAAACTCCTAAACCAATACCCGGCATAAGAAATAGAGAAAAAGGGGAAAGATCGTATTCCATCCATCCATTCATCCATCCATTCATCCATTCGTCCATGCACCCAAAGAACTCAAAAGTAATACAGATGCTCATTGCTTCATGGCCCAACCCCGCTTAGCATGATGCCTGAATTTACCCCACAGCTGATTTCTACCCAAACGCAGGCCCTATTATAACCAGGAGAAACCTTTGGTGATACGTTCGATTACCGCTTCCGCTCGAAGTAAGAGCTACTGCCCATAACAGCGATGCTTTGGTCCATCATCCACTCCCCGATGCCAAGGTACTTTTCAAGAGCCGAACGAACGTCCTTGGATTCTATCTTCTCTGTTTGGAGACTGGGACTAGGGTCAGTTTCAGCTCACTAACTTCCATTCAAATGAGGAACTTTGGCGATAAGGCCAGATAAATTTTTTGTGGGTTGATTCCAAGGAGATGGAAGGATGAAAGAAGGGTGTAGTACGTAAGTCCAGTAGAACGCTTGACACCCGCAAGAAATGCAGAGAAGAGAATGGCATCGAAGCCGTAGTGTGCTAACTTTCCGAGCTGTGGAAATTCAGTATTATTACATTAGTTGAACTGCTCGCGCTTGTGGCTTCATTGTATAATTATGTGCGGGGGCGCAAGAAAACGTACCATTTTGAATGGTAAAAATATAAAAGGAATAATTTTTTCGACGGGTGAGATGACTATCGATCTCTGCGAAGCCAAAATAATATATTCGATGGTTTGTAGACTTAAGACTCTGCGATATGGATAGTGGACTTCGGAAGGGTTGGATGTAAGGAGATGAGCGAGCTGCCGGGCCTGTGAAGAGAGAGTTCTATTTGGGTTCACGTGCTACCTATGTATTAGATCCAATATTGCTGGCAATAAGACAATAGCTTTGTTGCTGTGTAACGGTTAGATATCATTTTCAGGGCAACAGCTTCAGGATTGAGAACTATATCCGAATATCATAATCGACTACTTATGCACCTCGGATTTGTAACCAATGGCTCGTCCACATCGTACCGAAACCCCTTACTCTAGGAGAGCTTGTAGATATTTCTAGTCACTGACCTGGCCCCAAGATGTGTACATATATCCTTCGTATTCTAGAGTTTGCAGGCTAGAATTATATGTAGATCTAAGGTACAGTGGTTAGATCTTTCCTGCGCCTCGGGCACCTCTCCCAGCATCTTCAATGCTCTCATCATCCACGACAACCTTCATGCTTCCATTTTCATCCTTCTCCCCTAGCATGTTGGATAGAACCTTTGCCTTGTTCCTACCTCGTTTCAGTGTCTCGTCGACCTCTTCAACCGATTCTTCGTCATTCTTGAATGGCGGGTTTGTCAGAATGACAGCCAGTGACTCGGTTTGCTTTTGTACGCGCAAGTTTGTTATATGAATATCATTTGGCTTCCCTGTATAATCCACAGTGGCGGGCGGAGCAGTATATTGAGGTGTTATCCTAGCTTTCCAGACCGAACAACGACCTTGAAGTCTTCCTAGCTCCAGGAATTTCTCAAAGCCCTTCTGCAGTCCAAAGGCACGGCCCTCAATTTTCCCTGCCTGTTCTCCATCCTTCACCCCAAGAGCATATCCTTCTTGATAGAAGCTATATAAGTTTTAGTCGTCTGGATGTTTAGAGTGTTTAAACAGAGAGATATGCATACTCCTCCTCTAAACTCAGTAATGAATCGAAAATGTCTGCCATTTTATTCTGCAAGGGACTCGTGGGGTTGGTGTGTCTGTAGCAAAGCCGTTACGTGGTTTGTAGGGCGGTAGCAACTGAGGTGCAAGAACCCAAGTAGGCCACCAAAGCACCTATGAGTTTGTAGTCAAAACTTCTTGTTAAGGTTTTAGAAAAACTTTCTTTTCTAAGGCTTATTTAACTGCTTAAATAATAATTCATATCATGGATAAAGAGATGAAGATAAGTTTGCTTGTGTTTGGCAGGGAACCCTTGGTAAACAATCGCAGGTCACGAATCCCCGCCTGATAAGATAAGAATCTCGCAAACCTCACCTTCTTGACTCACCGTCACCCCCCACTTAACTGGCTCTCCTTCCGCATACCCTCAACGTTCGTACTGGTGGAATATTTGTGACAAATATTTAATACCGCAGCATAGACCAAACATTATCTCTAAACGTAATTATCCTACTGTATTACTTGCCGGCTAGTGGTGATTGGGGATCATGGCTTCTTGCATCATACTTTGTACTTTGTTAACAAATGCGGGGTGAAGCGCGTTAGAAAAGAAGTTACCTATCCGCCAAAATGGCGACACCTACACTGAAAGTCAACATTCCAGTCCCCGCCCCCGGGGGGTCCGCTTCCTTCGTTCAAGCTTTGAAAGTTTGTATTGCGGCTGCAGCTTACGGCGTTCCTGTTCAATACTCCAAGGGTTTGTTATCCCGCGTGTAATTCTTATACAGACAATACTGATTTTTATTGGGATCTAGCCGCAGGTCAGACAAGTGTCAGTGTCGAATCTCCCAAAGACAACAAAGTCTTGATTGAAGCAAATGCTATTGTCCGCTACTTTTCCGCTATTGGATTAAACCCATGGCCAAAATCTGGCGAAGAAGCGCTAAAGGACTATGCGTTGATTGAGTTCGAAGAGTCCAGACAGCAGCTGAATCTGGATGTAGCGGAGAGCATTATTTCAAGCGCCAAATTTGGCCAGGTAAGATAGAACTCGGGACATAGCACAAATTGATAGCTGATTTTGTTCAAAGGACGGCACCACAGCGCCCAGCCCAGCTGAAATCATCCTTTTCTCCACACTTTATGACCTGGTGGCAACGGCAACTCTAACTAAAGATTCGGTTCTCTCAGCCTGGTTTGTCAAAGTAATTGGAAGCTCATGGGCAAAAGCTGGGATTGAACTAGCAGCAGCAAACACTGCCGACAAGCCCGTGACCATCAGCAAAGGGGCTCCGGGAATAGAGGAAAAGGCAGAAAGGGTATTCGTTAAATTGATAAAAGAGGGTGTGCAAATGAAGGTTGCTAGTCCGGGTGAAGCTATGTAAGGTTTTCCTTGGGGGTATACTCAATTTGTGGTTCTAATACTTCAGTAGACTTCCGGTACCTGGCCAGAGGAACGTACTTATCACATCAGCGCTGCCATATGTCAATAATGTACCGCATCTTGGAAACATCATTGGGAGTGTTCTTAGTGCGGATGTCTTCTCAAGGTAATAATCAAACGCCATAATTTTGAATAGAGCTAACAAGCTGCAGATATGCCAAGGCTCGCAATTATAATACTCTTTATATTTGCGGAACAGATGAGTATGGAACTGCGACCGAAACCAAGGCTCTCGAGGAAGGCTGCACCCCTAAGGAATTATGTGACAAATACAATGCACTTCACGCCGAGATTTACAAATGGTTTGATATCGGATTTGACTACTTTGGCCGAACGACTACCAACTCTCAAACTGAGATTGCACAGGAGATCTTTATGGACCTCCACAAGAGCGGCTTTTTGGTTGAGGAGTCTATGACTCAGCTCTTTTGCGAAAAGCATCAGGGATTCTTGGCGGACCGTTTCGTGGAGGGTATTTGCCCTAAGTGCGGTTATGAGGACGCTAGAGGAGACCAGTGTGATACATGTGGACAGCTGCTGGATCCTTTCGAACTTATCAAGCCGAGATGTAAGCTTGATGGTACCAGTCCAATCCCCCGAGACTCAACCCATATCTTCATCGACCTTGAGAAACTTCAGCCAGAGATTGAGGCATGGTCAAAAAAGGCAGCCGAAGAGGGGCAGTGGTCCAAGAATGGCCGGATTATTACAGAATCTTGGCTTAAGCAGGGGCTTACAAAACGTTGCATTACCCGCGATCTGAAATGGGGAACTCCGGTGCCTTTGTCAGGCTTTGAGGACAAAGTCATGTACGTGTGGTTTGACGCATGTATCGGATATGTCTCAATCACTGCGGAATACACAAAAGAGTGGAAGAGATGGTGGAAAGATGCGGATAATGTGAAGCTATATCAGTTTATGGGCAAAGACAATGTTCCTTTCCATACTGTTGTTTTCCCTGGGAGTCAGCTAGGAACCAAGAATGGCGATTGGACCATGTTGCACCATATCAGTACCACTGAGTACCTCCAGTATGAGGGTGGGAAATTCTCCAAGAGTAGAGGTGTGGGTGTGTTTGGTAACAACGCACAGGACACCGGGGTGCCACCAAGTGTATGCTTGTTTCTTGGGTTGCGTATATATGGATTGTCCAGCTAACACTTTATAGGTTTGGCGCTATTATCTTCTCTCTTCTCGCCCCGAGACGGGTGATACTCAATTCGTCTGGAAGGATTTTGCCACAAAGAACAATTCCGAGTTGCTTGCTAACCTGGGAAACTTTGTCAACCGTTTGATCAAGTTTGTTAACGCAAAATATTCTGGTGTGGTTCCCGATTACACCAAAGGCATTAATGACCCAGCCTTCGATCAATATAAAGAATCTGTCAACGCCCTCCTGAAAGGTTATATTGAAGACCTCGAGGGCGTGCATTTGAGAGCTGGGCTTGAAAAGGCCATGGCAATCTCTGGCGAAGGCAATCGTTTCCTCCAGGACAACAAACTAGACAACAGTCTTTTCGCCAACTTCCCCGAAAAGGCTGCTGCAGTTGTAGGGTTCGGATTGAACCTGATTTATCTCATTTCAGCAGTTATATACCCTTATATGCCTGCCACTACTTTGTCGATCATCAATCAGCTCAATGCTCCGCTCCGTGCTATTCCCGATACGTGGGAAGCTGGAGATTTGCTTCCTGGTCATGTCATAGGAAAGGCAGTCTACTTGTTTTCCAGAATCGAGGAGAAACAGGAAGAGGCTTGGAAGTCTAGATATGGGGGTAAGCAGGAGAAGCTAGCTGATGCGGATGCAAAGAAAGAGAAGAAGAAGGGAAAGAAGGCAGCGAAACAACATGAGCAAAAGAAAAAGGAGGAAGGAAAGTCCACAACTGTGGAGGTTAGGGGTACACCCAATCCTACTGCCGCTTAGAGGTAGTAACATTGTGGTAATTGATGGTCACGATAATATTTCATATATGTCTTAGAAGATGGGATGATTTGTGTTTGCTCATTTCACTTCCTCTCTCGAAAGTTCGTGAAGACCTCCAGAGTGTATTCTATGATTTAGAAAAGAACAGGGTTGGTCAAATATCATGGTAACAATGCACAATTTGGTGTGATCAATGGCAACATAGGCACAGTATGGAGTTCAAGACTTACATCTTATCTTTCCCTTCTCGTACATACTTGTAGATACATGCTGCGGTAGGTGGTACAGGAGGTATTTCATCTCCTATCTAGGGTTAGGGCTACCCAATTATATGTAGCACATCTACGATTGCGATTGGTCCAAACAACACCAAACCTCGGGAGATACTACGAGTCGAGGGCATACTTGTCAAGAAGCCAGAATTGCTAGACCCCGAGACCCCTGAGGCTCTCGCTCCACACTGATAAGCTTAAGGGGCAGGTAGATATTCGGACTATCTATGCTTTGTTGAGGTACATGCTCTACCTATCCTCCCATTCTCTCCCCTCCCCTTCCCCACGCGCATCCTATCAACCTGCCAATAGTACTACATCTCTGTACGTTCTTTTCGTCCTTATCGCACGTCTCTTACAAACAAAGCCCTCACATTCCTTTCTAGAACTCACTCACTATAATCCCATCGAATGTCATTTGGACCATCAAAATCGCTGAAGATGGCTTCGTCTGCCCCAGAGAAATCTCGACCATCTTCGACCTCTCCACGTCTACCGTCTCCCCCACCATTCCCTGAGGTTCAAATCCCCGCCACCTCCACCACAAACTCAAAATCTGGTACCGCAGCCGCGACTACAAACTCGTTGATAGCCCCGCGCCGTATTCGCCCTGGCACCAAGTCCAAAAACATTGCGATTGGTCCGCCGCTCGTGCCATTCAATGAACTTGACTCTCCATTCCAGCTTCAGGAGCACCTTGCCGCGCTTCTGTCATCAATCACATCACCGCCGGACTCAGACACCACCATCCCGCTGTCACGCGAGGCATGTGAAGCACTCGCTACACCACCGGAGGGCGCTGAGGAGTCGCTGTGGTGCTATGAGCTTACGCGCCGATTGACCAGGGATCTCAATGTTTTACTTGTTGCGTTACTAAATGACAATTGCACTGCTTCTTCGTGCCCAGAGATGCGCGCAAGCGAATGGCAGTATCTGTGCGCGGTGCACGACCCGCCTAAGTCATGTTGCGCCATTGATTACTCTACGCATACCCTTGACCAAGCGGCCACTATGTTATGCACTCAAAAATATTTCCCTAGTAGGTTGAATTTAGGCGCAGGAAGCATCAAGCATTTGGGCAGCATCTTTAGGAGGCTCTATAGAATATTTGCGCATGCATGGTTTCAGCATAGGAGTGTATTTTGGGACGTGGAGAATGAGTTTGGTTTATATCTCGTGGGTTACACTTATCTAAAAGCTGGTGCTTCCCTTCTAATTGTAGGGCGATTAAATAGTTTTTTAAAACGGTCTCTGATCGTTACCATTTAATCCCTAAAGATAACCTAACTCTTCCACCAGAGGCAGAAGGTTTAAAATCAACTGATGACGAAGCGGATTTTGAGGAAGAAGAGCTCGACGAGTTCGACCGCGGGACGGGAGAGCAAGGCCGTCGGCAAGAGTTGGGCGGGGAACTCGAGGAAGATGATGGTGATGAAGATTATCCAGATAGTGACGAATCTGAATCTGATGAAGATGAAGAAGAAGGAGAGCTCAGAAACGGGGAAGATGAAGACGAGGATGAATTTGAGCTAGAAATGGATATCCATTTGTTGGAGGATGAGAAAAGCGAACTGGCAGGAATCGAAAATAATATAGACGAGAAAGATGAAGAAGAGCAGGATTCAGAAGAGATTGTTGAGAAATCACTCTTGCTTCTACCTGCCCCCCCGGAAAACGCCACATTTGCTTGTTTGAAGAGCCTATATGCTCCTTCTCTTGCCGCCGCTTTCCAGCAGACTCCTTCTGAAGTATATTCGATTCTAGACGTAGCAATCCATGTACCTTTTCTATCTTCTCCCGCCACCATTTCTCGACGGAAAGTATTCACAAAAACTCAGAGGCTTCTTGCAAGATTATACTCATCAGCATACTCCGCGGCTGTCAAAGAAGGAAGGGAGGACCTCGTTGATGTCAGGATCGTGTTCTTGAGCAACACTGGCTTGAGCTTCGAAGATGAGAAGAAGATTCCAACTGGCATTTTTAATGGCCCAATCGTGAGTTTACGCAAACTTGCAGATTCGGGAAGGGAGTGGAAGAATATCGTTATCGCATCACCCCCACCAACGGAGGGCGAAGAGGATGGCGAAGGGGAAGGTGAGGTGATTGCGAATAACTTTTTGGAGTACTATCGTGATCAGGTCGGAACCGATACTGTCGTTCTCCGTTGCGATCTTGGCGAGATTCCGGAGAACTCTGAGGAGAAGGAAGCATCAAGCGAAAAAGAACCAGAAGATGGAGAAGAGCACTCAATTGTAGCAGGTTTGTCCACGGTTATCCGCTTTCTTGGTGACAATCACTAATGCAGTAGTAAAGTTGGCGGAACATTCGACCACCTTCATCCAGGACATAAGCTCCTCTTGACAATGACCGCCTTCATTCTCTCTCCTCATGCACCGTCGCCGCGTCTAATAATCGGTATAACTGGAGCTAATATGCTCAAAAATAAGAAACACAGCAAATATCTTACCCCATGGTCCACACGAACCCATCAGACACTTCAGTTCCTTCGTGGGATCCTCGATTTCGCCTCTCCTGACGAAATAAAATCCAATACTACCTCTTTGATGACACCCGAACCAGAGAATGCACTTCGCGCTTTCACTACACTATTTGCCGGTGCCCTTGTTGTAGAGACAGTCGAGATTGACGATCCTTATGGACCTACCACGACTAATGAGGACATCTCTGCACTTGTAGTGTCTGCTGAGAGTTCTCAAGGAGGAGAGGCTGTAAACACTAAAAGGCTTGAGGCTGGATTCAAGGAGCTAGAGATTTTCTCTGTAGATCTTATTGATACTGATGCAGAAGGCGTGAAGATGAGTAGTACCGATATCAGAAGACGGTTGGAGGAGAAGGATGCAATCGAGAATTAGTTGGTTCGGGTGGGTGTAATATTCAATTTGTAGACTACATAATATGTATGTAAGCCTGCAATTATATAAAAAGCCATGCCCGTTAAGGTTTGAGATCGGGAAGCGATTCGTTCTTGGGTTTCGATTTCGGGCTGGAATTTACATCAGCATACATGAATTATCACTCGTTTGGTCATATGAGATCGACAAAGTCCTCATGTTCTCACTTTTTTCGAATAGAGTAGATAGATCAAGCTCCTAGTGCGTAGTGGTCATGCACTATCACTCGTGGCTCTAGATAGAAGCCAGCAAGCAATTCTTTATGAGTCAGCTGTGCCAGGAAATAACTTGAGCGGTTTTTTTTTTTTGGCGCCTACATATATCTGTCTTACAGGCCGGTACCTTATTGATTTGACCCCAATAGAGCAAGCTACATACCATCAGATACTCTACGACAATTCGATTATCTGGCAAAACGCCATTCGCGCGGAAACTAATATCTGAAAACTGGCAGATGAAGTGACAAGAGCGCTAACTGCTTACGTTCAACGCATGCATCTCGTTCGCTTGCTTCGTGCTGTTTTACGAGCTGCCCTGAGACAGGTCAAGTTAGTCTCCCTACTACTTGACATGATCTAATCTCCAATGTCGCCATTTCCTTATCTGATCACGCATTCCTAGAATCCATTCGCTGGGGTAGATGAATAACATACCTCCCCAGGTACCCAGGTAGAGAGTAGTGGGCAATTCTCACCGAAGCAAATCTTCTCGGCCACCAAGTTCGCCGAATATGCGCTATCATAGTAACGGCAGCCAGCAGCGCGCCGAGAGAGACGGCATATCCTTAAGTTCGTATGCAATGAGCACTCCACTTGTTGGAAAAGATCATCTCTAACACATTGCTAGCCCGTCTCAACTCAGCTGAGATAAAAAGCCTCAATAAACCGGATCTAAAGAGTAGTTGACTAATAAAATTCATACATATTACCTACATAAAACGGGTATGGACAGGTGCAAAACAGTGCAATACACCGAATTAGTCCAAAAGACACAGTTCGTCCGTTAATTGGGCAGAATAGTAGCTGCAAGGAAACCAAGAAACTCAAAATCATGTCCTTGGAGACGCGCCCACTTTCATCCGCAGCTGGGCAAAAGTGAAGAATGCGTAGAGTACTCCATGGTATGTAGGTACCTACATAGAGTGCTTTACATGCTCAAATCTTGGTATCCCAAGCTTCGCTTCAGCGAACTATGGTAGAGTAATGGGCATCCAAAACTTAGGTTCAAAACGCGCCCACATACCAGATCTTACAAATCGTAACTCAACGGACAAATCAAAACCTTTCAATGGCCCAACTGCCCAGATATAACTGGTACCGGTGGAATTTCAAACCTGGGTCTGGGGTACAGCATCTGGAGATGCCAAAAGAGACCCCATGCATTGATATTCCGGTTTGTGTACTACTCGCAACAGGCCTGAAGTACCCGAAAATGCAGCTGCAAGGTTTTGGTGTATTTTTGACTTCTACTCCAATGGCAATTGCAGATTAGGGCTTTCATTTTCGGGTACTTGTTACCTGCTGCGGGTACGAACTTTGTCTCAATCGATCAGAGATACTATTCTATAAGGGTTGGCGTCTCTCAAGCATTGAGACACATCGTCCGAAAACCCCTCTTTTTGAGGCACGTAAATTCAAAATACTTGAAACCATGTGCCAGGCTGTTGTAGGTACATAATGATAGCTGGATCGTACAATGGCCTCAAGGGCCGATTTCAACAATACGTGTCTGAGGAACTTTCTAAAGTCTTCAGTACTTTGTACTTATCTTTAGCTAGATTTTATTCCTCTATACCTGGTGTTTTCGTTTGAATACC